TTTCTTGAGACGGAGTCTTGCTCTGTCTCCAGGCTGGAGTGCAGTGGCTCGATCTTGGCTCATTGTAACCTCTGTCTCCCTGGTTCAAGCGATTTTCCTGCCTCAGCCTCCCGAGTAGCTGGGATTACAGGCGCACGCCACCACACCCAGCTAATTTTTGTATTTTTAGCAGAGATGTGGTTTCACCATGTTGGCCAGGATGGTCTCAATCTCCTGACCTCTTGATCTGCCTGCCTCAGCCTCCCAAAGTGCTGGGATTACAGGCGTGAGTCACTGCACCTTGTGGATGTTTAATATTTTCAGGAGCATCATTTGCAGGAGTGTAGCTGGGCACTGTCTCTATTTGAATCCATGGACCTAACTCAGCTCTACCTGCTCTGAAAATTTAACTGCCAAGCTCAAAGTGTATTTTCCTCCCTCTGAATTTCTGTAACATTTCAGGGACTACTCATTTAGCAATAATTATTTGGAAGCCTCTTGTTTGGTTGTCTTGAACTTTTATTAAGTGTTCTGTGATTTCCCTCTAAGATGCAGGATTCTTGAGGCCAGGGGCTGCCTTTAGCGCACCCGAGGCATTGGCAGATTCAGCGTCTGGTGAGGGCCCTCTGTGTGGTTCATAGATAGTGCCTGCTGTGTCCTGGTGGAAGGAATGAACTCTGGGCGTTCAGCCCCTTATAAGTGCCCTAATCCCATGCATGAGGAGCCACCCTCATGACCTCACCATCTTCTAAAGGCCCCACCTCCAAATACCATCACCCTGGGGGCTAGGATTTTAGCACACGAATTTTAGGGGAAGACAAACATTGAGACTAATACATTGGTTTAGAGTGATCTGTTTTTGTCCCAGATTTATGTGACCTCGAGGTTAGTGATAATGACTTACTCTTTTTTTTTGTTCCCCCAGCGTCAAGCCCATCTCCTAGTGCTTGAATATTTGTTGAATATGGGAATGCCTGGTTCAGCATTAAGACTCCGCCATTGACAAGTAGTAGAGTTGTTCTGAAGCAAGCTTGCTTAAAGGAGACTTTATTATAGGATGCAGGGGTGAGGCTGAGAACCTAAAGAGGGAGGGCTTGGAGTCTGGGACAGGAATAAAGAGACCCTAGACCCTCTCGTCCTCTTGTCTATGATCCACTCGTATGTGGGCTGTGTCTGGAGCCTGTGTCTGTGCAGCCTGGATTGCTCTGATAGAAGATGTCCTACCCTAAGACACTAAATTTATATGTTACAGGTCCAGCCTCTGGAGACAGAGTCTCGAGGCCCAATTCCTAAATCTGTGGGAAAGAGGCTGTGGTCTGGCCTGAGCTTGGGGCTGCCTATGGGTCAGTCACATGGAACTAAGTGGGTGGAGGCATCCCACAGCAGATGCAGGGCCACCAGGAGCCTCCCTTGTGTCTACCTACTGCAGTGCAGGGACTGGTGAGCAAGGGGCATGGCAGAGGGTCCACTGTGACACTCTTAAAGGCTCTCCACTCCATTTAGATCTGTTGACCAGATATGTGCCCTGCAGAAGTGCCAGGGGAGGAGGGTAGCAAGAAGCCTCTGC